ACCCTAAATACCCCAAGAACCCTGGGAACTTCAGGAGTACTGGGCACCCCAAAAAACCCAAACACCCCAAGAACCCTGGGAATCCCAGGCGTGCCTGGCACCCCAAACACCCTGAGCTCCCCAGGTATCCCATACACCCCTAGAACCCCCAAAACCCCAAGAACCCCGGGAACCTCAGGTGTACTGGGCATCCAGTAGCTCCTGGAGCTCCCCAAACACCCCAAAACACTCCAGACACCACAAACACCCCGAACATCACAAACACCCCAAGAATCCCGGGAACTTCAGGGGTTCAGGGCATCCCAAACACCCTCAGTACCCCGGGCACCCCAAACACCCCGAGAACACTGGGAACTTCGGGTGTGCTGGGAATTCTGAGGACTCCAGACACTCCAGGAATCCCAAACACCCCAAGAACACTGGGAACCTTAGGGGTAATGGGTATCCCAAATATCCCAGGCATCCTGAACACCCCAAGAACCCTGGGAACCTTGGGATATTGGGTATCCCAAATACCCTGGGCACCCTGAACACCCCAGGAGCCCTAAGTATCCTAAGAACCCTGGGAACTTCAGGTGTGCTGGGCACCCCAAACACCCTGAGACACCCCAAACACCCCAAGAACCATGGGAACCATGAACACCCTGAGCACTGCAGGCATCCCAAACCCCCCAGATGCCCTGGCAATCCCAGGTACCCCAAATCCCCTGGACACCCCAAACCCCCCCAGAACCCCAGGACCCCCAGCTGACCCTGTCTCCCTGAGCACCCTAGATCCCTCGGACCACCCCAAAACCTCTCGGGTCACCCCAAAAACCCCGCTGACCTCGCGCAAGGCCTCGGCGTAGGAGCTCATGTCGGTCAGGATGACCAGCACGTGCTTCTCGCACTGGTACGCCAGGAACTCGGCCGTGGTCAGCGCCAGCCGCGGTGTGATGATCCTCTCGATCCTGCCGGGCACCCCCAATCAGACTCATTAGCCTCATTAGCTTAATTAACCCCCGTGGGGTGGGTTTGGGGTGCTGGGAGGGTGAGCAGAGTGTGGGGTGGGGTCGCCCCGGTTGTGGTCCTGCGAGGGCTGGGGGATCCTCGGGGTTTTGGGGGCTCCAGGCTCGGTGGGGAATTGAGAAACCCCAAAACTGATCAGGGTGGGACTGGGGGTCCTGGTGGGGGAGAGGGAGAAAAGGGAA